AGGGGGCCCCCCGAGGGGCCCCTCAGGGGGGTCCCCAGGGGGCCCCCCAGGGGGCCCCCCAATGGGGCCCCCAAAAAAGTCTACTGAGGGATCCCACAAGCAGTCCTCGAGGGGCCCCCCCGGGGGCCCCCCAAATGGGTTCTCAGGGGGCCCCCCAAATGGGTACTCAAAGGGGCCCCCAAAAGGGTACTCAGGGGGGCCCCCCAGAAAGTATTCAGGGGGCCTCCCAAAAGGGTACTCAGGGGCCCCTTCAAGATCATCTTCAAGGGGCCCCCCAAAAGGGTCTTCAAGGGGCCACCAAAAGGGTACTTCAGGGGGCCCCTCGGGGGAGCCCTCAGGGGGGCCCCCAAGGGGCCCCTGCTGTAAATCTGTAGCCTTTTGGAGGGCCCCCATGGGGACCCCAGGGGGGCCCCCTGAGGGGCCCCCAGAGGGGCCCCCAGGGGGGCCCCCAAGGGCCCCCTTAGGGGGAAGCAGGTTCAGCTGGGGGGCCCCCAAGGGGCCCCCATTGTCTGAAGGGGCGCCTCCAATGGGGGAAGTTTGCTGCTGCAGCAGCAGCTCTGCAGCTGTGTCAAAATGCTGCTGCTGCAGGGCCTCACTAGACAAATCTGCTGATGCTGCTGCTGCTGCTGCTGCTGCTTCCAGCCACGAAAAGTCAGTGTCTGCTGCTGCTTCTGTTGCTGCTGCTGCTGCTGGGAGGTCTGCTGGTGCACTGCCTGGTGATGCTGCTGCTGCTGCGGCTGCTGCAGCATCCTTTGCGGCTGCTGCAGCATCCTTTGCGGCTGCGCTTTCCGCTGCTGCACCTGCTGCTACTGCTGCGTCTGCTGCTGCAGCTCCCGCTGCTGCTGCTGCTGCTGCTGTGTCTTTGAAAGCTCGGGCCCTTGCCCCCAAGCACGGTCTGGGCATTGTGCGTGAGGCTCACCAAACCCTAAACCCTAAACCCTAAACCCTAAACCCTCGGCCGCAACCACAAACCCTGGACGCAAAGTTGTTAGCGGCAAGCCGTAAACCCTGAAGTAAACCCTAAACCCTCAATTCCAAACCCTAAACCCTAGCCTCCAAACCCTAAACCCTCGACAGAGGAGGGCCTGGGGCTCGTGAGGCTTGGGCGATTCCGCGTGTTGGGGTTGGAGGTCGCTAGGGTTTCGTGTTTCGAGGGTTTAGGGTTTAGGGTTTAGGGTTTAGCGGCAAGTGTTACACCTTAATGCTTTGGCAATTTTTGCGACAAACTGCTTTTAAAACGGCAAATTCTTTTAGCGCTTAGGTCTAGGGTTTAGGGTTTAGGGTTTAGGGTTCAGGGTTCAGGGTTCAGGGTTCAGGTTGGTGGTTCTGTCGTCGCATCCCTTCGGCCGCTGCATAAAACCCTAACCGTAAACCCTAAACCCTAAACCCTAAACCCTAATTTTATTTATGCACTCATTTATTGAGTGCTGCAATGATATATTTAGGATCTTTTATATTTTCTTATAGTGGAGGGATTCCTGCGTAGGGCTTCCGGTGTCGATACACCCCAAGCTTCAAGCAGCAGCAGCAGCAGCAGCAGCAGCAGCAGCAGCAGAGCGTCTGGAGCGCTGCGGCTGTGCCGTTGTCCCCCAATGGTTCAAATCTGGATTTTTAAAGAAGTTATTGTTGCGGCTTGGATTAATTTCAGGGTTTAGGGTTTAGTGTTTAGGGTTTAGGGTTTAGGGTTTGGGGTTTAGGGTTCGGGCTGGGATCGCTCGATAGCGCCAGCCGCGATTCATCTGCTTCTCTGTCTCATTTTCGCTGACTTCAAGCCGCCCAGTTGTTTGATT